TGTAGGTCTTACAATAAGACAATTCGAGTAGTATCCTTCTCAAAGTACGACGTGACCCATTCCAAGGAGCAATGATTCACTCGGAGAGGAAAGGAAGATAAGTGTTGTTATCTCCTCGACATTAACATGTTCCATGGCTATTATCTCCTTGCATAAATAGCATATTATATGAATTCATGTCTCAAATCACATAGACTACAAATCATGGACTAAGTTAATCGTTATCTTATTCTCCATAAATGCAACGTGTGAATTTGCTAGTTTATGTATCATTACATTCATGATCAACCATTACCTAGCCCTCATACGCATCAATTCTTAAGGTAAAATCACTGTGTCGTGACATCTATACTTTTTCGAGTGGAGCCTAATTGCTATTTGTGATCTAGATCTTGACCATAGCATATTATGTCAATTGCCTCCATATTTCTCGAAAATTTGTTAATGTATTTTGAGAATAATAATGCAGGACCTTTTATCATAAAGGTATACTCGATTTTTGGGAGAACTTCTTCCTATTTTTGCAGAACTTGCAGAAATGTTAGAACGGAGATAACCCCTCTATGATGCGAAATTGTAATCATGCCACAGTAGCCTCGAACAAATAAAAGATCAATACATGGTGCACGTCAAGAATGAGCTCCGTCAACAACGATGAGGAGTTCATTAACAAGTGGGTATTGCTACTCTGACTTGCGGATACCCCTGGAAGAGTGCCAACAGATAAGTGATACGATCTCCTTATAATTGCTTCAGTATATGAACATCTGTATTATAATATAAATATTACGATAGTTCATGAGCATTGAATAATTGTTCTTACATTCCTATTATGACACATTAGACATATGTGTTTCTTGGGCCTCTTCAGTATCCTCGAACTTTTGCATGCAAACTTCTTGCACAAAAAGCCTTTCTTAGATGCACGATTTATTTACCAATTACTTATGTCCTGGCATATTCATTCAAATGACTTTGTTTACTCTTCACGCGTAAAAGTTTTGACCAATCTCAAAGTCGATAGCCAAGTCATTTTCATTTTCTTTTCTTTTGAAAAGGGATAGATACCCCTCTCGTACTTACCGTTATCGGTAATATACTCTAAAAGTTATAGTGCAGGATGGTTCCTCTTCCTTGAGCCCTGAGTCACAATGGATCGTTGTGTTGACTCTACCGAGCAACTAACTTGAAGTTGCTATCCCGAAGTCGCAATGACTTTCACATCTGATGGTCTAGTCCCATGAAAAATCTCTATGACTCTTCAGGGGTCCGTAGTAAGTACAAATCCGTGGAGAAGCGTTGCATGATCTCCGCAGCATTCTTTTATAGCTGTTGTGACCTAACCAAACCATGGCTTCAATAGCCTTGCTCATATTGTGGTGAGATCTTTCTACTTCTTACATTTTAGGTCTCAAAATAGCTGTTTTTTAGGGGGGCAGAGTCCCTCAATAAAATATTGAATTTCATGTCATTTCTCGTGCTATGATAATTTATTACTCACTAATAAATCTATAAATACATTAGAAGGTGTTTGTTCAGGATCAAAGAACCATCTTGGTTTATCATGATGTCTGCGCTCGAGAGGCATCATCATCCGAATATATCCTCGACAATTATCATGAAAGAATTCAGACGCATTCTTCCTCTAAACCAATGTACGCTCAAATGAGCCTTTGGGCATGCATCCTTGATCAAGGAGAACGGCATATTACACTTGAGTGTTTTCATGTGCTTATTGGTTGAATTTCACATTGTTTACATAAGCATGTCATTATTATACTTGCAATACATGTCTCGAACTAAGTTACAGGACAGACATACCCCGAGAACTCAGGGGCAAAAAAGACAGAGATACATAACTCTCGCAGATGATCCCTCGAGGATAACGACAACATCAAATTCGCTCTGACCTTAGGGCATTTATACTTTAAACCCGGGATATAGACTATCGGTCTAATGCACGTGGTAGCCACTCGAGTACTCATAGGAGCTGGCGTATTACATATATCCAATTACACCCAATTAAACATGACTAGTCATTTGAACGGACATCCTCTTTAGGACCATTCTCGAGACGGACATCCTCTTCAGGACCGTCCTTGAAAGTGCCATGTATTCAACATCCGGACATTCATTGGTCATGCTACCCTTAACTGTTATGACTAACAGTCTAAACTCGAGGAGTTTGTATCTATTTTCCTCACGGATATCCTCATCAGGATTGTCCTTGAAAAGACATTCTCTTCAGAATCGTCTCTGCAAAGGTATCCTCTTTAGGATCGCCTATTAAAGAGCCGTTTACTTAACATCCGGCCATTATAAGTGCTTGACAAATAACTCATAAGCCGGGTACTCGACATTTGGTATTGAGAAAGGCCTAGGTTGCCATGTTCATGAATAATGGATAACCATCCTCAAACTTAAACACATGTGTTTAATACATCAATGAGAACTAGACTTGTTGTCGAGTATGCATTCATGGATCGTTCTATCATATCATCCAATGCTTTAGAAAGAAAATGACTTATTCTCGATGTTCTCGAGTTCACTTGTGCCTTGTCAACACAGGCATATTTCTTCAATTATGGTGGTTACCGTCCATCTCCTTCTGATAGACACCATTTTATTGCCTTAACCTTACGAGTATGAGGGCTTCTTGATTAGACACCACCTCGAACTGAGTAGCGGAAACTACACTCTCATCTAAAAGTCTCGGTCTGCCAAATGCCACCCCAAGACTTGGGGGCTCCGAGATGATTAATGGTTCCGAGGTTATCTATAACGAGGAACGTATATATATATATATATATATATATATATATATATATATATATATATATAAGAGATTGTAAGGTGTTTGGAAGGTGTGTAAGGTATCTGGAAGGTGTGTAAGGTGTTTGGGAGGTTATGTTTTTGTTTTTTTTGTGATGATCTTGGGTCTACGGATCTTTTCCTATGACTATTCTTGACGGTATTCACTTAACGCTCAGACTGGGGCATTGTTTCTTCTCATACTAATGAGTACAATCTCCTCAATTCTTGCTCGAATTTCGAGTAATGATATTATACATCTACTCGGGTTCGACACATCAACCTGATTCATAGTTCTCGAACCCGGACTAAGGGTTCTACGCTTTATTTCTCAGGACATGAGAAATGACAAGCGGGTCGGTTGGGTGGATATAGATAAGTTTAAATGCTTGTGTACCTTCTTTAAGGTCAGATGGTTACAATTCTTGAGTGCTTTCTGGAGTTCTGCTCGAGAGAATCTTCTCGAGTCTCACTATCCATGCATTGATGTAATCACATGCGGCATCTTCTACGGTGTCTTATACTCTCTTCTGTCTCTCCTCGACAATCAGAGATGCTTATGGTGACAGTCTCGAATCTCTGAATTTCTTAACAGAAGGTCACATTAGGGCAAGTTCTTGACGTCCAGTTCAATCCCAAACAGTTTCCTTCTCAACCTTATGTTCTCGACATCAAGTACCAATGGAATATTCTGTCTTCATTCATAATGTTTCTCAATCGACTACTCTGTGGTTGTTCTCGAGGTTTGAGTCTATTACATCTCAATCAGAAATATACGTCACAGTTTCTCAGTAGACTCCTTATTTCAACAGTTGATATATCTTAGCTGCTGCTAATTACATAAATTTTGAGACTAGTGGGAATCTCCACTACATTTCTTCCTTGACTCTCTCTGTGGTTTTCAACCAGAGTCTTCATTCTGACAGTCATACCTTTGGGAATTATTAATAGCACATCTCCATATTCCGAGTAGTGGACATCTCCACTACACTTTTTTATCATCTTCTCAAATAATTGAGCATTTGCTTTGGTATCTCCATGGGGCAGATTATTAAGGTCATCACCTATCGACTTCTCGCTTGAAAGCTTGAACTGATGACTATTCTTTCTTTACAAATTGGCGTAAATGTCAATCGCTCTTTGTGACGCGTACATTCGATAAGGTACGTGCTAATGCTTTCATTCCTTTGATTTCTCTTTGATGCTAACCTGTTACAGGTTCTCGATTCAAGTCAGTTATTCTCAAACTTGAGGAAAATTTATACTTAATGTTATCAAGCCTACACTATCTTCAGACTTCAAAATATGCTTGATAGGGGCACTTGACGAGTCCAATATACGCGGCCCTCAACCGTGGCCGGCCTAAGTTCGAGAAATGATCGAACAGACTATTCAAAAATTTCTAGGTCGGTTCTTAATTACTTTCCTACCAAGAAAGGATTTCATAATCTATCTCTATAAATAGGGATCAACCCCTCACATCAAAGGTACGCTCTACGCATCACAATTCATACCCTATTACAATTACTTTTACTGACTTATGCATCAGAGTGTCTACCCTCGGGAGACCCCGAGACCCTCAGGAAACCACGCAAAAATAGCCAACCCATATTAATTTTTTAATTTCCAAGATTAAGTTATTAGTATTTTTATATTTTAATTTTTTAAATTGAACTATTTTTTTTTTTGGCAGAAGTAGTACATCGGTCTCTTTGATCAGTTATATTCCTTTATTTTTATTTTCTTGTAGAATATTTTTATTTTCTTGTAGAGAAAATTAAATTAATAATATATCGTTAACCAGAAAAAAAAAATAAAAATAAACGTCCTTCTCTTGACATAGATTCATTAACAAAGAGGATAAAGAAAACATTCCCCTATTTATGTTTGGAGATGGATGGATTCTGATTCTATCATTAGTTTTTCTGTGTAATCAAGACAGACTTTCTCATCCAACCTTTAACTTTAAAAGTATCAATCATCAACATAAGCCGTTGAGTTTACGTTGAATGCGACCTCAACCTTTGTCCCCGAATGTCGACACTACCTAGGCTTCTAACATAAGTATTTGTCATTTTTTATTTATTCTTTTGATCTTATTTATACGGAACAAATTTGAACCAAGATTAAATATGATTTGTGAGGTAAAAACATCAATAATTAATCCCACTTGATATTCTTAAGCAGCAATGGATTTACTTGTTCATCCCATCTTAACTCTAATTATAACATTGTTTGTAGTCCTCTTCACAACTTTTGCAGCATTGGCATCAAAAATTTACATTGGAAAGTCAATCAGGAACAAGAAATACCCACCTGTAGTTGGAACTGTGTTTCATCAGCTCTTGTACTTGAATAGACTCTATGATTTCCAGGCAGAAATGGCAAAAACACAACCTACTGTCAGGTTGCTTGGAGTTGACCAGAGTGAAATATACACAACCGATCCTGCAAATGTTGAACACGTACTGAAGACCAACTTTCATAAGTATTCGAAAGGTAAGTATAATCAAGATATTGTTAGTGACTTATTTGGGCAGGGCATCTTTGCCGTAGACGGCGAAAAGTGGAGGCAACAGAGGAAGCTTGCCAGCTTTGAATTCTCAACAAGGGTGTTAAGGGATTTCAGCTGTGAAGTTTTCAGAAGAAATGCTGCGAAATTGGCTCGAAAGGTTTCTGAGTTTTCTCAGGCTGGCCAAGTATTTGACTTACAAGTGAGTTTGTTTGTTACTGTTGGATTGAGATGTCAAGTATGCAGAATTAGCCCTTTGAATGAATATTATGATTATGCTGTTGGATTGAGGCAATAAAGTACTTGACTTACAGGTTTTGTGCTCAAAACATGTCCTTTTAGTCGTCTTGTTTAATTTCAGGACTTGCTGATGAGATGCACCCTGGATTCGATTTTCAAAGTTGGATTTGGAGTAGATCTAAATTGCCTGCAAGGATCAGGAAAGGAAGCAACTGAATTCATCAAGGCCTTTGATGACTCAAATGAGCTAACATATTGGCGATATGTCGATCCATTTTGGCAGCTTAAACGGTATTTTAACATCGGTTCTGAAGCCATCCTTAGGAAAAATGTCATGGTTATCCGTCACTTTGTAGATGACTTGATCAGGAATAAAAGGAATCAGATTGATATGCAAAAGGACTATGTGAGTGTAAAGTTATGATTTTGTAAGCTCCTTTGAATATCATCAGTATGTAACTCTTTCCAAAAAATGAACTGATTCCAGAAACTGATTACTATAACTTTTCTGCCATTAATGAAAGAATGCCAAAGAAGACATACTATCAAGATTTGTGGTGGAGAGCAGGAAGGATCCAGAGAATATGAGTGATCAGTATCTACGAGACATTATTCTGAATTTCATGATTGCAGGAAAGGATACTACTGCAAATACTCTTTCATGGTTTTTCTATATGCTATGCCAGAACACATCAATCCAGGAAAGAGTCGCGGAGGAAATTGGTGAAGTTATTGGAAAACAAGAAAGTAAAACTTGTAGTATCGATGATTTTGTCGCAAGAATAACAGATGAAACAATGGATAAAATGCATTGTACTCATGCAACATTGACTGAGACATTGAGGCTATTCCCTGCGGTCCCAGTGGTAAGATTTCTTGCAGTTTCCATGGCTTTTACTAAAGCTTGTTAAAATCTGTCCCTGTTACCTCATATAAAGCAAGACAAGAACATTTGTGGGCTAATTTGATAATAAACAGAAGCAAACTCCAAAATTTTATAAGCAAAAGACAAGATCAGCAAGCCAATGATATGGCTTGAATTAAACCAGAATATGAACAGATATTAGGTTTTTTTGAATGACCACTAAACTGAGTGAGGCCGCATACTATTTTTGCTGCGAAGGCGCTAGACTCGCTATCTGTTCCCAACATAGAGTCAGTTTGTCTCTCAGCATTTCATCAATTCATTTCCCCTGCCATTTATCAGTAACGGGTATAATTTATCGGAAACTTGTTAGGATGGAAGATGTGCAGATGCTGATGATGTCCTTCCTGATGGTTATGAAGTGAAAAAAGGGGACGGTGTTTACTACATGTCCTATGCAATGGCCAGAATGCCATACATATGGGGAGATGATGCTGAGGAATTTCGACCAGAAAGATGGCTTCAAAATGGGATATTCCAACCTCAATCTCCATTCAAATTTGTAGCGTTTCATGTAGGGATCAAATGTCGCCATCCATATCCTTGTATCTTCTTTTCAATCATGAGTTCTTACTCTATGTTTAACTTTACTTATTTGACTTATTTTTCAGGCTGGACCTCGAATTTGTTTAGGGAAAGATTTCGCATATCGGCAGATGAAGATACTGGCAATGACCCTTCTACACTTCTTCAAATTCAGAATGAGCAATGAAGCCGAAAAAGTAACATACAGAACCATGTTTACTCTGCATATCAAGGAAGGCTTACACATTCAAGCTATCCCAAGAACAGATGCAACACAGATTTGATACCAGGAAACAGATGTCATAAGTTTCTTGGAAGACCTTATGTTTCACCTGTAGTACAAGAAAGTGTTAAATTTCAAACTCATTCTTACAACTCACGAATCTTTTAGCTTTATTATGATCCTGAAAGGGTTAAAAATGGATGATCACAATGTGACTGATCCTAATCATGCCTGTTTCAACTACTTTTGTTAAAATGTGGCACAACCTTAGACTGGGAAAAATTTCTTATAGCGCTTAAATATCTAAAAGCAAAGAAATATGAACAAGAAGAAGCTAAATACTCCTCCTGAAAAGCTGATCAACAAGGACATGCATAATCATCTTTACCTCAACTATAACTGTTCTGCTACTTCTGATCGCAGTTTTAGTAACTTTGGCACCATAAGTTTCCTTGGAAAACCAATGAGGAAACAAGAACTACCCACCAGTATTAGGAACCGAGTATCAACAGCTCTTGTATTTAAAAAGGCTTTATGATTTCCAGGCACAGATTTCAAAACACAACCTACATTCAGACTACTTGCAAATTGAGCATGCATTGAGAACCAACTTTCAGGGCTACTCTACATGGAAATCTTATCAAGATGTTATGATACTACGGCAATCACTCTTTCATGGTTTTTCTATATTCTATGTAAGCATCCGTTGATCCAGGAAAGAGCTGTGGAGGAAATAGACGAAGTTATTTGGCAAACAAGTGAGTGAATGTTGATGATTTCCCACTAGGTGGGGTCGGTTTTATGGATCATAAGTCGCCATCGTGCGAAAAAATCTGCCGAAAAATTCCCTCTCGTCCTTTTACTTCCATGGTTCTTCTAAACGACATTGATCCACAGCCGCTACGGCCATCTTCTTCCTCGCAAGACATAGTTTTTACACCGAGGAAATCATTATATCCATCAATCACTATTCATTTGTCACCTTGTATAATTAATATCTCTGCACGTGTAAACTATAATCATTTCATCAACTATAATCCAAGGACGAAAAAATTTCATTACAATAAAAAATCCAGGTTCAAACTAAGTAAGAAATCGGCTATGATGTGACACCCGTATCCAAGGCTCTTACCAATAACAACATAGTCTTATTATTATCGTATATGAGGGAGTATTTTGTATCATATCAAAATTGTGAAAATCTCAAAGAGTATAAAAGTACTTTTGTTCTGGGATTTGGGCATAAGCTTCTCTACTTAATTCAAAAAGGGACTAACTTTTTGTTGAAGGTCAATTAGAAAGTTGGATGGACCCAACTTAGAAAGTTCCGATATGTTCATTTTATAAGTTACGTTTTTAATTGTACCTGTAAATAAGACCGAAATAGTAAAACATAACGGCCAAAACTTTTCAACCGCATTTTTATCTTAGCTTCTTCAAATCAAGAAAACATGGTGCCAAAATTTGATTTTACTGCCAATCTAGTTGCTTTAGTATCTGCTTTTATATGCATTGGATTTGCCCTTTTTGCCATTGGTGTAGTAGTCAGTAGCAAAATTCTGGAAAATGGAGGGAAGAAGAATAAGAAGAGGTTCCATCCGATTGGTGGGACAATGCTACATCAGTTGGCTAACTTCAACAGGTTGCATCATTACATGACTGATCTTGCCGGCAAATACAAGACTTACAGATTGATTAGCCCTTTCCGGAATGAAGTTTACACTTCTGATCCAGCTAATGTTGAGTATATACTGAAGACAAATTTCGAAAACTATGGCAAGGTGTAATGATTTTAACCTCTTTTGTTCTGTCATTAGAAAAATTTGGAAATCTGCAAAGTAGTGGTTAACATGTTTGGAAGATTTATATATGTACAGGGATTGTACCAATATACCATATTGAAGGATCTACTAGGGGATGGCATCTTTGCAGTTGATGGAGACAAATGGCGGGAGCAGCGGAAGATAGCGAGTTATGAGTTCTCCACAAAGGTGTTGAGGGATTTCAGCAGTGTAATATTCAGGAAAAATGTGGCGAAAGTTGCCAATATAATCTCCAAAGCTGCTGATTCTAAGCAGTCCTTTGATATTCAAGTGAGTGATCAAGCACTTTAACATCTTTGTTTCATCAAGTGAATCCATTTGATTTTAGGTTTGATCTCTTCAGGATCTCCTCATGAAGTCAGCATTGGATTCTATATTCAAAGTTGCATTCGGGGTTGACCTGGATAGCATGTGTGGTTCAAATGAAGAAGGCAAGAAGTTTAGCTGTGCTTTCGATGATGCAAGTGCGCTGAGTCTTAAGCGTTATGTGGATATCTTCTGGAAGATCAAAAAAGCGCTTAATGTGGGATCAGAAGCTAAGTTAAGGGAAAACATCAAAGTGGTTGATGATTTTGTATATAAGTTAATCAAAAGCAAGACTGAGCAAATGCACAAATCAGCTGATGATTCGTCTGTAAGTCATGCATTTCAAAGCTCATTGTGGTTTTACACGCAGTTATGATTTTGAGATGATTCTGTTTCCTGTTACAGTGGAAAAAGGACGACATCTTGTCCAGGTTCTTGCGAGTGACTGAAACTGATTCCAGGTACTTGCGCGACGTGATATTGAGCTTCATAATTGCTGGAAAAGACACAACAGCAACCACACTCTCCTGGTTAATATACATGCTTTGCAAGCATCCAAATGTGCAGGAGAAGATTGCTCAAGAAATCAAAGGTTCAGCACATGAGCAAGAGATAACAGATGTTGCTGAATTTGCTGCCAGATTGAGTGATGATTCAATGGAAAATATGCACTATCTTCATGCTGCACTAACTGAGATTCTCAGACTTTATCCTGCTGTTCCAGTGGTAATCATATTTCTCTTCCCTTTTGGCATTCAACTAACAATTCCTTCCTTTATGCCTGTTTACTTTTTTCAAGAATTGAAGCACATGCTTTTAAAGAAGAAAGACATTTATAGTGCCCTTCTCCTTTAAAATTTTCCACCTGCAATGCTTCAACTGCTTCCCGGAATTTTCTGTCGAAAGGAAGGCACATTATATAGCATATGTTTGTGACTATAGGATGGGAAGATATGCTTGTCAGATGATACACTGCCAGATGGTTTTTCAGTAAAGAAAGGTGACCTGGTGGCATATCAACCATATGCAATGGGAAGAATGAAATTCATTTGGGGTGAAAATGCTGAAGAGTTTATACCAGAGAGATGGCTTGATGAGAAAGGTTGCTTCCAGCCCGAGAGCCCATTCAAATTTACAGCCTTCCAGGTTAGCACTGTGATAAAAAAAAATAAAATAAAAACACTTCTTGCCATTGAGAAACATTTCACATGAAGAGAGTGTTCACGACAAAGCACGATGACAACATAAGACTCAAGTTTACCAGTCTGGAACATTGTTTAGAGACTGTTTTGAGAGGGTGAAGAAACTCATGAAACTTATTATGTTATCTGTTCATCTACAGGCGGGGCCGCGAATCTGTTTGGGGAAAGAATTTGCTTACAGACAAATGAAGATCTTTGCAGCAGTTCTATTGAGATTCTTTATCTTTAAACTAGGTGATGAGAAACAGTCTGTGAATTACAGGACAATGATAAATCTCCATATTGATGGTGAACTTAATGTCCTTGCATTCCTCAGACTTGTTTAAATCATACTTGTTTGTTAATCTTTGCAAGCATTTATTCTACACCAATGTTTGCACTTGCACCTCGGGATGGCTACGAGACAAGGCTTACTCTGTATGCCCATGATTTTCCATCAGGGCAAATGCACCTGTGTTAGCTCCTTGGGTCTTGTTTTGGTTTCTTAAGATTTTGCCGCAGATTTATTTGAAACTCTAAAGACATATCAAGGTTTTCATTACCCTGCGCACAGATTCCATGTTTAGAAGTAGTGAAATCTTGATCAAGTTATGTAGAATTGAATGATGTTTTGCCAATTTTTTTTTGGGGAGAACCATTTCCAAGGCTTGAAACACTCCCTTGCCAACATCGCGGCTAGGTGAGTGGAATTTGGGTGGTGTTGTCGCTGTATTTGTGGAATATCAGTTGTCTTCTTGTTCTGGGGTCGATCACTCCCAAAATGGTGTTTGTTTAGTAACCATGATTTGAGGGATGTGGATATGGCACTATGATTGCCAATCATGCTAATCTCTGTGTTGTTCCATCACTAGATCTTTATAGAAGACATCTCCAGCGGGTCAGATCATGTTTCGGTGTTGCATCTGCTAAGGGTTAAAAAAATTGTATGATCCTTGTCATCAAGCCTCCTCATTTTAGTTTTGTTAAATTGTGTGGTACAACCTAAGACTGGAAACAAAATATTATAAGGCTTAAATGTCTAAAAAAAAATCTCAATATCACCATTTCCTATTAAATGTCTTATGCACAATGTGGATGTACTTTATACCAGCTGCACCTCAACTGTAACAGGTCTGCTTGTTCTCTTCTCAGATCACACTGTTTACTGCTTGGCATCAAAAGAATTTTCACTTGGAACCAGCACTCTTGTGCTTAAACAGACTTTTGTGATTTCCAGGCACAAATTGCGAAAAAATGACCTAGTAGTGTCAGTCGCGGAACAAAGTGACATGAATACAAACTACTCCAGCAAATGTTGAGAAAATGTTGAAAAGTAACTTTCAGGCTACCCCAAAGGAATATATAATCAAGATGTAATGAGAGGCTTATTTTGCCAGGGAATTTTGGTTGTAAATGGCGAAAAGTGGAAGCTAACAAGTGTGCTTAGAGGTTTCAGCTGCGCAATTTCCAGAAGCCATGCAGCTAAATTAATTGGCTCGAAAGGTTTTGAGTTTTCTTGGGTCAGCCTAGTTTTTGATATTTAGCAATGCAGATATGGCTTGTCTGTTACTCGAAACCTTCCTCTTTTTTTTTTCCTTGTGGATAATGAGACCATATTTCATGGCTTGAAGTAATTGTCTGAATCTTAAATCAGACAGGTTCTTAAAGGATTAATATCATTAACAGATGCTAAGATAGCTAGGTTTTTAAGATTATGCTGTTCCATGTTCTGTCATTTAGACCATTTATGTCTATTCCAAAGACCAGTTTTGTCGAGCTGCGAAATCCTACCAAAAAAAAAAAAAAAGGAAAAGATAAAAAGTTCCATGGTAGGGTACATGCCCTACATCACAGTTTCATGTTTGGCTAACAATTTGAAATGAAGCCAATCAGTCCTCTTTTTTTAAACTTCAGGACCTGCTAATGAGATACATGCACCCGAGAGTCGATCTTCAAATTCAGATTTGGGGCATATCTGAATGCATTCAAGGATCACAACAGGAAAGCTACTGAATTCATCAAGCCATCTCAAATGAATTTAAACATTCTTATCCATTCTGGAAATGTGAAGTGGTATCTTAACCTATGTTATGAAGCTACCCTTGGGATGAACATCAAATCTATTCATCACTCTGGCAAATGACTTGATAAAGAAGACAGATTTTTTTTTTTTTTTTTGGTAGAAAACTTGGCTTAGCAGCCAAGGTAGATTAATCAAAAGCTGCCGGGTAGTTCCCTGGCATCATGATCCAGTACAAGCCTAATAAACTGGGGAGGAACATCAAAAAAATATACTCCCCTATTTACATCAAGTGCCTTTTTTGCTAAGGCATCCGCACACATGTTATTGTCCCCGACTAGTGTGCGCAAAACATACTTCCCGGCTAACCTGTTCAAGGCTGTATATGCGCCTTAACTCCTGTTCAAGAGGTACTTGTGTCTGATCCTTCAACTGACTTACAAGGTCAAACGCCCCCTGAGAGTCAATTTCTATATTCAGCTTCGGTATTCCTCGTTTGATAGCCACCTCCATTGCAAATAAGGTCCTTTTCTTTTTCTGGGACGTAGGGAGTATTATATTTTTCAGGCATAATTTAGGCATTGAGCCAAATAAAATTTTTACACCCAGAATGCTGCAATCATCAATTTTATCAATCATAATTCATACATCATCATCTTAATTCCATCATCAATATCCCGCACTTGCAAATCCAAAAACCAACATTGTATCTTTCCATAATCTCATCAACTATCATCCAAAGGACAACAAAATTTCACAAAAAATCCAGGTTCAATACTACGTATAAAACCACGGCACTGATGTGACATCCAAGAAAGCTAAACCGTATGCAAGGCACTAAAATCTCCCAAACCAATAACCAGTAGTTTTATTGCTATCGTACGAGGAATCATATTATGTTAAAAATCGTGAAGATCTCAAGAGTCCTAAATTTTTTTTTTTCTGTTCTGGGATTTGGGCACAAGCTTCTCTACTTAAATTAAAAGGCCGAACCTTTTGGTTCCGTTACTGTAATTAGAAAAGGTTGGATCTTGGATGACCGAACTTTGAAAGTTCCGACATGTATTGTAACTGTCTGTCAGATTCAATCTGCTCATTCTACAAGTTCAGTGTGAAATTGTGCCCTATAAATATGACCCAAGGAATACAAAGGTCAGCACCAAATGTTTCAGACCACATTTTCATCTTACATTCTTCAAATCGAAGAAAAGATGGTATCAAAATCTGATTTTGTAGCCAACCCATTAGCTTTAGCCTCCACTTTTATATGCATCGGATTTGCCCTTTTTGCCATTGGTGTAGTCAGTTGGAAAATTCAGGAAAATGGTGGGAAGAGGAAGAAGAAGAAATATCATCCGATTTTCTAGACAGGTTGATTAGTCCTTTCCGCAATGAAGTGTATACTTCTGACCCGGCTAACGTTGACTACATTCTGAAGACAAATTTCGAAAACTATAGCAAGGTATTTTTTAGCTTCGTTTTAACCTTTTTGTTCTGTTCTCAGAAAAATGAATGAATTGGTTTATAGTGGTCAACACATTTGAAACTGTATGAATACAGGGATGGTACCATTACACCATATTGAAGGATCTATTAGGAGATCATCCTTACAGTTGATGGTGACAAATGGCGGGAGCAGCGCAAGATAGCGAGTCATGAGTTCTCCACAAGAGTATTGAGGGATTTCAGCGGGGTCATATTCAGGAAAAATGCAGCAAAAGTTGCCAACATAATCTCTCAAGTTGCGGATTCCATACAATCGTTCGACGTTCAAGTGAGTTCAAAAGCACTCTTAACAGCTTCCATATTTAATGCGGTTGATCCATTTGATTGTCGTTGCGACTACATATAATTGAGTTCTTGCAGGATCTCATCATGAAGTCTGCATTGGATTCAATATTCAGAGTTGCTTTTGGGGTTGATTTAAATAGCATGTGTGGTTCAAATGAAGAGGTTAAAAAGTTTAGCTGCGCTTTCGATGATGCAAGTGCCCTGAGTCTTAAACGCTATGTGGAGATCTTGTGGAAGATCAAAAGATCTCTTAATGTTGGATCAGAAGCTAAGTTAAAGGAAAGCATCAAAGTGATTGATAGCCTTGTCTATAAGTTAATCCAAAGCAAAACTGAGCAACTGCACATTTCAGCCGATGATTCATCTGTAAGTCAAGCATTTCAAAGCACATGGTGTTTTTTTTTTTTTTTTTTTTTTAAGTGAGTTTCTTCTCATTTTGAGGTGATTCTGTTGCCTGTTACAGTGGAAAAAGGACGCCATCATGTCCAGGTTCTTGCGAGTGACAGAAACCGATCCCAAGTACTGGCGGGGATGTAATACTAAACTTTATAATTGCTGGAAAAGATACAACAACAACCACACTCTCATGGTTTATTTATATGCTTTGGAAGCACCCAAATGTCCAGGAGAGGATTGCTGAAGAAACCAAAGGTTCAGCAGATGAGCAAGATGTCGCTGAATTCGCTGCCAGATTGAGTGATACTTGATTGGAAAATATGCACTACCTTCATGCTGCATTAACTGAGACTCTCAGACTTTATCCTGCAGTTCCAGTGGTAATCAAAGTTCTCTTCAGCATTTGACAAAGAAGTTCGTGCCGGTTTTCCATGCTGTAATAGGATGAACATTTTAACCTTATCTCACAGATAGATATTTAAAGCATTTGTTGTATACAAGAAAGACAGTTCTAGTTTCCTTTTCAAGCTTCAACTAGTACTCTTTACTATACTAGGCCAGAATTTTCAGTCAAATGGATGGCACATTGATTCAGAGTCCAGACAAATTTACAGCCTTCCAGGTTATAGCATAGTGATAAAACAAAAAGAAACACTTTATTTTTCCATTGGGCAACATTTCAGAAACTAAATGTTACCTGTCCATTTGATCTGACAGGCGGGTCTATGAAGATCTTTGCAGCATTTTTTACTGAGATTCTTTGTCTTTAAACTGAGGGATGAGAATCAGGCTGTGAATTACAGGACGATGATAAATCTTCACATCGACGGGGGGACTAAACGTCCTTGCATTCCACAGATCTTAGAAGGCCTCCTGTATGGCCGGCCGGCCGGCCAGCATATTTGTATTTCCATTTTCGCCTAAAAACTCATCAGCCAAAACACATTATTCATATTCTCAGTGCTCGTTTTTATTTAATTTCTACGTTTTTTAAAACAACTTTAATGCTTTCTAGATTAGAACTGCCCGACCTAAACAAAAATGAAAACAAGTATCCATTGTACTGCGAATCAAGAGGACACGTAAAATATGTTGTGACTACAGGATTCAAATATATTGGCGGGAGGAATCCAGGAAAAAGATATGTGGCCTATTTTAATTGTGCAGGTCTCTGAGGGGCAAAAAGAAAATAAAAGTACACCTTAATGAAATAGCCGTAGAAGTACATGTGTTTTGGGATTTGAGCATAAGCTCCCTTCCTATTCTACATAGGAATAATTCAGAAGCCCGAAAACCATATTGTAATCATCAAAGGAGACCAAATGGTCAGAATTTTGCCTTCATGAATGGCTCTTGTCGTGCAGCGATGCGCCGGGAGGAATTATTCTGGTTCATTTTCGGATATGGCCATGCTTTCAGGCTGTTGCCCGCCATTTTCAGATCATTTTCGAAACTGAAGCTTCATACTCATACAGCTCAGAGAAATCCAGGGGGAAAATTGTCGAATAAATCGAGCTTTTTAGTATATTCGGAAGAGGGTATTTATAAGTGCAATCTCCAGTTGAGGAATCTTGGCAAGGTTGGCAAAGTGAATGAAGCTAGGAAGTTGTTCGATGAAATGACTGAAAGAAATGTTGTCTCTTATGCATCCATGATTACCATTTATCTGAAACATAATAATCTTCCTAAAGCTGAAAGCTTGTATCTTGGAATGCCTGAGAGAAGCGTGGTGGCCGACTCAGCTATGGTCCATGCATATGCCAAATTAGGAAGGTTGGAATTTGCTCGGGAAATCTTTGATCATATGCCTACCAAAAATGTTTTTACCTGGACTGGTTTGATTTCTGGGTATTTGCAGTATGGCAGAGTGGATGAGGCTTGTCGACTCTTTAGAGAAATGCCCGAGAAAAATGAAATTTCTTGGACCACCATGCTGTTGGGTTTAGCTCGAAATGGTTTGATTGACCGCGCGAGGGAAACTTTTAATCAGATCCCTGATAAAAATGTGGTTTCTTGGACAGCCATGATTAGTGCTTATGTGGAGAACTGCCAAGTTGATAGCGCTCTTCAACTTTTCTATCAAATGCCGCACCCTAATCTCTATTCGTGGAATATTATAATAAAAGGGTGCTTGGACTACGATAAAGCGACTGAAGCCTTGCAGTTATTTAATTCCATCCCTGAGAGGAATGCCGTTTCTTGGACTACTATGATTACGGGCCTTGCAGATAAAGGATGTATAGACTTGGCGAGGAAGTACTTTGATCAAATGCCAAACAAGGATATAGTTGCTTGGAATGCAATGATTACTGCCTATGCTGATAAAGACAACATGGTTGAGGCTAGTTATCTTTTCAATGCAATGCCAACTCGGAATACAGTAACTTGGAACACAATGATCAATGGTTATGCCAAAAATGGACCTCAAGATCAAGCTCTTAAGCTTTTCATTCTTATGTTGCGCAGCTCCCAAAGAGCAAACGTCATAGCTCTGACCTGTATACTGATTGCATGTCAGGGCATTTTTCAGCTACAGCAGTCTCATGCTCTTGTCATCCAGCTTGGTTTTGAGTTAGAGACCTCCTTGATCAATGCTCTTGTTACCATGTATTCCAAGAGTGGAGATCTTAGTTCTGCTCGTTTGGCCTTTGACAATCTTGAGGCCAAAGATGTTTTCTCCTGGACTGCAATCATTCTTTCGTATTCCAACCATGGTTATGGGAATCTAGCACTAGTAACGTTTGCGCAAATGCTTAGATCGGGTATTGAACCAGATGAAGTCACTTTCTTAGGGGTTTTATCAGCTTGTAGTCATGCAGGTCTTGTGAAGAAAGGTAAAAAACTTTTCCTCTCCATGAATTCTGCCTATGATATACATCCAAATAAAGACCATTATTGTTGTCTTGTTGACATTCTTGGTAGAGCTGGCATGATCAATGAGGCTGTTGAGGTAATCAGCCAAATGCCTCCGGGGGAATGTGATGGTGCTGTTATAGGAGCATTATTAGGATCCTGTAAGTTGCACGGGGATGAGGTTGCCCAAGTGAATATTTTGGGGGAGAAATTATTAGAGCTCGAACCGTCTATCTCAGGAAGTTATGTCCTTCTGTCAAATCTGTTTGCGGCAAGTGGACAATGGGACGACTTTGCTCTTGTGAGAAAGAAGATGAAAGACAGTGGAGTACATAAAGTACCTGGTTATAGTCAAATAGAGGTTAAGGGGGAGAATCATGTATTTTATGCAGGAGATAGGTCTCACAATGAGATCTATCAAGTATGTCATCTACTCAAAGAAAAACTTCTACCTGTAATGCTAGACAAACATTGCATCCTAGAAAGTTGCCAATAATCTCTGAAACTTCAGTCCTAGCGAGTTTTAGCAATTTCACTTCTATCCTCTTTGAGTTTCGTAATTCATTTTGGTCTTTGATATTAGATTTGATGGAATCCTTAGACTTTACTGGCTGTGAAAACATTAGAGAATTCACTTATAAAGTTATGAGTGATGTTGTATCTTGGAGACATGTGTTGCCTTTATGTCTTTATACTGTTGGTTCTCTGCATACGCTTGTTTTGAGTGGATTGAAGCTTTCATTATTAGATGTGGGTGGGATAAATCTTCCTTCATTGAGGGAGTTGGATTTGAGGAATAGTGAAATTGATAATAGGTTTCTTGAGAAACTGATCATGAACTGTCCTCAGTTGGAGATTCTGGATATTCATTATTGTTTTGGTTTCAATTCTCTGAAAGTATTAGGATTACATCACAATTTGAAACGGGTTGAATTGATGAAATGTTTCCAAGACGAAGATTTTTGTCATATCCATGCTCCTCAAGAAGTGCAAAATATTGTGATCAATGAAGCGCCATTTCTGGAGTACTTTCGTTACTTTGGTAATGGAGATGACAAATTGTGTTTGCTGGATGTGGTGGCTTGGGAAAATCTGAAGGTTCTGAACTTGACTGCTTTATGCGGCGATGACAAGTTGCTCGAGTCAGTTGAACATTTTATTTCACATCCTGATGGACTCGAAGCATTCTCACTGCACGAGTGGATTCACAGTGATAAGGGGCTGAAGAGTATTAGAATCTCAAGCAACAGTCTTAAGTACATGTGGCTCGGATTTGTTGACGTTCCAGTGTATGTTCAAGTGGATACCCCTAGTTTGTCTGAATTTTGTTATTCGGGATCAAATCTGTCGTTTGAAAGTTCATCAACAAGGGCTGCTAACTTTGTTGAACATGAAACTGACAGAATAAGGTATGATAATCTTGTGGAGTTCCTCAGAAGTTCCAATCATTTTGAGGCAGTGAAGTTGGATGATTTTGCGCCACGCCGATTCAAGGTTTTAAAACCTCTGAGGCACAATCGGGATCCTCCCCTCGGGGACGTCAAACAACTTAACTGTTGGTGCACGTTATACTAATAACAAATAAATACCAGTCAATTTAGAAATGCTGGAGAATCTGCTTTGGGCGGCTCCTCATCTGGACACCCTCTCCTTTGATGATCTCAAATCCCCTGTAACTTTTCAGTTTATACATGAGAATTCCGGGATTGTTGATAAAGTCCCTTTTATATCTCAGAACAACAAATTGATTAAGGTCAAAGTTGAAAGCTTTCCCAGCACTGCAGAAGCTTTCGAGCTGAAGAAATATTTTTTTGATGATGGGAAATTCTTGGCCAGCAGGGTGAAACAATTGGAACTTCACGTAATGTCCAAGAATTTTGGATGCCAGGTCAGTTCAAGAGGAACAGTCTAAGAAGATCACGAATGCAAAATCATGCAATCTTCTGTTCCTCGGATTTTGCTATAGATTTATTTGAAGTTGTAAATTCTTATCTAGCCCTTATTAGGTTTCAAAGTATATGGGGTAGTAATCAAAGAGACATACAAAAGATACAAAAGAATAAAGATGAAAAATTGATGAAATTTATTGTTAGAAATTTGAATTTAACAATAATAGGAGAATCACAAAAATTCATATATATTCTAATCATGTTAGATACTGTCTTTAAAACAATATTTGTCTCCACTATGTTGCAATAGCGGGTTTGTTTGGCAATTTGCCTCTAGGACATAAAGAACACAAGAACATGCAACTTGCAATTATTGAATCTTCTCAAGAATTTAGGAATACAAAAGACCTTTTCAAAATTACTGCACTAGTTAACCTATTTATAGGCAACACTTGCAGAATTAAAAGGATACAAAATTAAGTACATAACCTTTGGCTTGGAAACAACCACCATGCATTGTGAAGGGTTACCAACTTAATTATTATCTTTAAATTATAAATTAATTATTTTATTTTAAAAACTAAAATTTCTAACATTCTTCCACTTAGTTTGTAATATAAAATAATTACACAATCATGAGAATCGCGCTTAAGAGGTGGTAACTTTCGTCTTAAACCATATCATAGTGAAATTAAGTCACCTAACTAGCTAAATTATTGGTCGTTTGTTGCTTAAACCAATAATCAGTCTAGTATTCATCTATGTAAGCAAACATCAATGTACTTGAAAGAATATGGGAGTAGTAACCAAAGAGACAACAAAAAGATACCAAAGAATAAAGATGAAGAATGAGGAACGTTATTGATATATTCTTGAATCTAACAATAATGGGGGAATCACGAAGATTTGGGTGTGTTATAGTCATGTTAGGCACTATCCTTAAGATAATATTTGCCCCTACCATGTTGTAATACCGGGTTTGTTTGGCAATTTGCCTCCAGGACATAAAGAACACAAGAACATGTAACTTGCAATTATTTAATGTTCTCAAGAATTAAGAATGCAAAAGACCTTTTATTTGAAATCCTGCACTAGTTCACCTATTTATAGGCAATACTTGCAGAATTAAAAGGATACAAAATTAAGTACACAACCCTTGACTTGTAAGTAAATAACCACCATGCATTGTGAAGGGTTGCCAACTTAATTATTATCCTTATATTCTAAATTAATTATTTTATTTACAAACTTAAATTTCCAACAGTCTCGTCGCCAAGATTGATCACCAAAATTTTATTTACAAACTAAAATTTCCAACAGTCTAGGCGTCAAGATTGGCCGTTGGTGGAGGCAGGGGGCCTGCTAGTCCATGAGCTCCTCCATTTCTTGCTTTGTTTTGCTCCAGACGTTTGTCAATGAGGTAGACTACCGCCATCACCAAAACTACAAACCCCACAGACATATAGGTCCAAACATCAGCTTCAAAATTAAAAACGTCTGCCTGTCCGTCAGTTGGTTTCGGGGGTGGGGGTGTTGCAGGGGATTCCATGGCAATTTTCAGGGGTGGTGGTGTTGCAGGGAATTCCATGGCAATTGAAAACCAGCAGCTCTTAGATAATTATATGATTCTGAAGTGGAAATTATATGATTCTCTGGAGTATAGATACTAAATAACTCGTAGAAGATTTTGCGAAGGATCACATAGAATCTGGATATATAATAGAAAAGAGTAATGGATTCTTCTTTTTCCCATTCTTCTGAAGTCGTCCATGATTTTGACGGCAAAGCTGACGGCCATACCACGATCAAAAAAATAAAATATGGAGTCATAAGAATATGTGAACTAAAAAAGTGAATATACCTCACTACATTTTTAACTATGTATTTTTAACTGCCACTATTTTTGTTTTCTTAGTTTTTCCCGGCATTTTACGTTTCACCTTCTCACCAAATTCGGCTTCATTAAAGTTACTTACTATAAACATTGTTATTCCTTTATCAAAAAAAATTAGTCTACAAAAACAATACAATGAATCAAATAAGCTAGCTTTTTGGGACCAAGAGAGAAATATAGTACGCCCTTCCTCCTGGAAAAAAATATAATTTGGAAAAATACAAGTAACAAATGGATGAATCATCTTTCAAACTAAAAAATTTATGAAAATTTAATAAAATGTTTTCGATATATATATATATATATATATTGCACGTATATTGCACACGAATTGAACGTATATTGCACGCATATATATATATATATATCAATTTTAGTATAAGTTTTAGCTGAAATAAAACCTTATATGTCCAACCTTTCAAAGATGGAGAAAATTTGCAAGTGTTGCCTAAAAAAGTGACCAATGTTTGTACCTTCATATTTTTATTGTCACTCCCAACTATTGTTTTAATATGTTTGCTCAGATTTTGGTAATTCAAAGAGTTTCACTGTGAAAATATTGGTTGGCTGTTAACTAAAGGTCACAACATTAATGTGGCATTTGGATGATTAGACATGAAGTTTACTCTTATCTTTTCACTTTGAACCAATCGACGTATTTTTTCAAATATGTTTTTTCACTTGGAACCAGTAGACACATCATTTCCTTTGTGTCTTATCACTTAGAATCAATAGATACAACTTTAGTTGTATCTTTTCATTTGAACTCATTAGACAAAAAACACTTCACACGTCTCTATGTTCTCACTAGGAAGACAATATTATCCTATATGTTCTGTTATATCAAATTTTTAGATGTATATACATCCATTGATTATATTAATACATTATAATCAATTATAAGTATACTTTAGTGTTCATATAACCATACACTTTAGTGTCACAACCGATTCAAAGAGTTTCATTACAAAAATATTGGTTGGTTGTTAACTAAAGGTCACAACATTAATGTGCCATTTGAATGACTAAACATGACTTTTACTCGTGTCTTTTCACTTTGAACCAATCCGCATATTTTTTTCAAATATGTCTTTTCACTTGGAACCACAATATTTGTGTCTTATCACTTAGAGTCAATAGATACAATTTTAGTTTTTATCTTTTCACTTGAACTCACAAGACAAAAATATTTAACATGTTTCTAATCATCCAAAAATAAAAAAATCACAACTTTTCATAAAAGTTGTCAATTTCGGTTCGCCATAACCATACTCTTACATGCTAAGAAACTTTCACATGCATAAATTAATTATTTTATTTACAAACTAAAATTTCCAATATTCTTCCACTTAGTTTGTAATATAAAATAATTACACAATTATGAAAATCGCGCTTAAGAGGTGGTAACTTTCGTCTTAAACCATATCATAGTGAAATTAAGTCACCTGACTAGCTAAGTTATTGGTGGCTCGTTGCTTAAACCAATAATCAGTCTAGTATAGACTTAATATTGCACACGCAAACGCTCATAGCATTCCTTATACTTCACATTATGATTTAGCACTATTACCGGCTATGAGCTCATCCTAGATTCTTGATCATATACAAAAGATAATCTCAAACTTTTTGCTAGAAGCGGCACCACCTCTATGTTAAATAGGTGGAAGTTATTCCAGTTTGTTACTATACCGTAATGAAATGCTCAGAAATAAT